TTTTTTAAGAAAATAGACAAAAAAGAGAGAATTGAAAAGAGAAAAAAACGAAAAACAAACGAACAAACGAACAAAAAGACAACAAAATAACAAATTGTCAGTTTTTATAGGTGAAAGAATTAAAAATTGAGAATTTAAATACTGAAATACATTTTAAAGTGAAAATAAAAAAAAGAAAGGAAAATAGCAAAAATTTACGCATAAAATAAAAAAGAGAAAATTCAACAAAAATCTTTTGCTAAGTGCAACATTTGACATTGAAACAAAAAAAAAAAAATGCAATTTTTATCCATATAAGTGCAAAAAAAAAAAAATTGAAAAAGTCAACAACAGGCCTTAGTTGTTGGAAAAAATCATTATTAGCAAATATATAATGATAATGATTAGATGATTAGAATAGGATAATAAATCGTTAATTTGAATTGGATGTATGTGTATGTGTCCATAGGATAAAGTTAATAAAAATGATTGTTGATTTCCTTTTTCGGGAATACGAAATAATGATTATTGATTTGATCCCCATGTAGTTTCCGAAGGGATAAGTAATCGCAGTAATAATAACAAAATAGGCTATGATAGTAAAAAAAGTCAATTTTCAAAAAAAAAAAATAACTAAATAAATTTTCTTTTTTTTACATTTAAATTTTTTACTTTTCAAATTATTTTATTTGATAAGTTTGTCGATTTAATTTTTTTAATTCATCAGTTCAATTTTTTGCCTTTCTAAATATTTTGTTTAATAACTTATCAGTCCTACTTTTTCGAGCTTATATCTTCCAATTTTTCTTTTGCTTCCGAAAATATTTCATTTAATTAAAAGCTTATTCAAAATTAATCCCTTTTTATTTTCTTCATTACCTTACAAAATATTTGTGGATACGATAAGGATAAAAGTGATCAAAATTCATCAATAAGGAAATAAATTTTAGAGCAGATTAAAATTGAACTGATTATCATTATTCAAAAAAAAAAAAAGAGATCATCCTTTTATCTTAAATTTACAATA